TAGAGAGAGAGAGAGAGAGAGTTTGACGAGTTCCACGTTCGAATCATTAAGAAACACCCATAGTTTTTTCTTCACTAAACAGCAGTAGCCCAGAACATTAAATTGTTGAAAAAAGTAATAAACACTTGTAGGTGTTGTAAAGCGTTGATGTCCAAAACCCACACATAACATCTCTTTCTCAGAAAGAACCAGTTCCCAGCTATGGCACGTCGTGGGAAGTTAGCTCGATATACTCGCCAGTTGTTCATTTTCATGCATAATTATATTGACTGTGAACTTTAGTACTTTAAAAAAATTATGAGCCTTACATTTTTGTTTGTTTGATTAAAATATAGTTTTAAATCATCATGAAAGTCTAAATGTGTACTGTACCATAATTGTCATTTCGATTAATATATTTTTTTAAAGTATGAACATTTTTCAAAAGATTTTAAATACTTTTCTAAATCCTTTCCTCCCTCTGTGTGTTTCTGTGAGCTATGAAGTTGATTATGTAATCACTTTCCGTTGTATTGAGATAACAAATCGCGTGATACAAGACATTCTGCTGGGTTTGTAATTGTGACGAAATCATTATTGCAGCCTCCAGGTGATTAAGTAATTGAACCTGATCAATTGCATGAGGTTTCTGGGCCTCTCGATTAAGAATACATTAATTAGCAGTGTAAAACAGATAATTATGTTTAAAGTTACACAACTCTTTTATTGTTACGGTTTGAAACTATGTTGGAAATTATGGCCAAAGATAAAATAATTTCATTGACAATTTTTGGACCATATTTAAAGTTAGAAGGATAATATAGCCTAAAGTAATCGGAACTAGGCGTAACTAGTGGTTAGGGATCAAAAAGTTCTAGGTTCGAACTCGTAATAAGTAGCTAAAAGTAGTGGGCAAATTTTAAAGTGACAAGTCAGCCACATATTCGGTTAAGAGCAGCCATAAGACGGTGATACTTCTAACCGGCTGCCCTCCTCCCCCCTGGTTAGCAGTTTAATTATGGATGAACCTAGGGGTCTCTGATCTGACAGTTATGCCCATGTATCGCATAAGGTGTTGTTCAGGTATCAAATACCAAGTGTCTTAAAATTTACCGTAGTTGACATAAATTGTTTCGATTTATACAAAACTAACGATAAACAAGTCAAATTTGAAAAAACCATTGGAAATTTTGAAGGTGATATATTTTTTTTAGTAATATTAAACGCCTTATGCTAGCGGAGCTTGATCTACTGATTGGTGTTTTATGTGGCATTACATCACAGTAAAACTGAATGTAATGTCACACCCAATACCGAAATGTCATTTTTATTCTGACATTAAACACAACTTCTTAGTTGTTACGCACGATTCAAAACTCGTACACGTTTTTCTTGCAGTTGAAAACAGTTATAATATTAGTGTGAAATTATAAAGAATGATGAGAAAGTAAGAACACAGCTGCATGAATAAGATATTATAACACAGTAAGGATGTAGACGCTGGTACTTTTAACAGAAAGGATTGTGCTTACAGTAATCCAATTTAACCCTGGAATTACGTTTGAGTGTCTGTATGGACACAAAGTATTTGTTAAACACATTTTATCTAAACTATGTTTGCGTCAAATTGCGTAAAGGCCCATGATTTTATTGTTTATACTGCCCCTAATACTATACAAGTCGCACAAAATACCATCAATACAATATTAACCGCGCTAATTAAGTACTGCATATTGGGGCCCCCTGTTTATGTTGTAACTGTTAAAAATATAAAATTACTCAAAAGAATATAAGTAGACCCCACCGCTAATATAAAAATAAGTCGGTGTTTTTCGTTTCTTAGCTGAAATTGAAACGTTTGTGTATTTGTTTTAACATATTTTAAGTGAGTGGCTTATTGAAATTACTTTATTAATAATCATTGTATCGCTATATATGATTGACTGCCATCACTTGATATCAGTTCACATTTAATTCAGACTAAAGGAATTATAATATAAAAAATAATAATCATGTAAGATTTGGACAGCGTCGTGATTTGAATACTACGCTTCTTTGAATTGTAATGTAAGCAGTCAAAAGTCCTACTGATGATCTTGGCCTTTGTTGGGTAGGCGGAAAAATATACAGTGTGAAATAAGGGTAGTGTCCAAAAAAATCAGGTGCATAAATGATCGGAAAGGAAATATGACTGAGCATTGGTAAATCTGATTCTTAGCATGCTGGACTACCGATCGGAAGGTCTAGAGCTCAAGCCGACAATATGCAAATAAATACGTTTCTCACTCTCAGCTGTGACGGAATTAAAAAATGTGGCAATCCAACTTACCGATGGCTAAGAGTAGCTATGTAAGTGGCGAGTCGTGTTACCTACTTGTCCTTTATCGGGTCACAGTTCTAAATTATGGACGGCTCTGCATGAAGCTTGGGATATCTGACCGGACCATTTAACCAATATGTTACAAGGGTTCCATTTAGGTTGAAAATACCAAATACCAGACAATGTTCATATTACTTTTAATATATCAACTGTAGTGGATGTTTATATGGAATGAAAGAAGCGTGATTATATCATGCAGCTATTCATATATTTCTTAAAGATAACATATTTTTAGCCGTGTCTGAGCGGTTCATAGAATGGCTCTGCGTTTTTGTTTGTTTTTTCAAGTACAAACTTTTAGCTCATAGCTCCGTCATCTCTTCACCGATTTGAGATCTAATTACAGTTTCATACATTAATTTAATCTAATCCTGCCTAAAAGAATGTCAAGTGCCGCGGCTATTAAGGTTTCCCTCTTATTCTCCTTTACAACTCAATCTTAAGAATGAAAATTTACACTTTCTGATTTTTGAATGTGAAAATATGTTATATTATCTCTAACTATATTTCAATGTTTCCTTAAAAAGATAATACAGATGTATTCAACTGTTTAATTTTTGCATCTTAATATCTTACCTTGGCAAGAGATAAGATGACACAGCTACTGAGCGGTAAAATCTGGTTCAACGGCGAGTTTAAGGGTTATAACGCTGAAATCCGGGGGTTAATAATTTCTTTGTATTTATAGACAGAACATTCATCAGGGCTAATGTTCTAAATTGTTAGGGTAATTTCTTGTAGGATAACTTTGTAAACAGTGGTTTTAATGTGACGTGCCTAATTTCAACTTATTAATTTGTTCAGATAATCGTTTGTCTTTGGAAGAAAACGTGGAATCGAGGAATTGAAAGAAAAGTGTGATAGCTACCAAATGTCTCTTCGTTTTTCTCCGTGGGGGCGATCCTCTTCGATCGAGTGTTTACCCAGAAACTATAGACTCGAAAAGCAGTTGAAGATACCAAAATCCGAGAAAACAAATGAAATAACCTGCAAGTCAGTTGTAGAAATGGGTGACTCAGACAGGGAAGGTAATGATTGCTTTTTGTCAAAAACGTTTGAAACACAGAATAATACTATTGAAATGAATAGAGGTGCAGATTTTGAAGATGTAACCAAAATGTTTCGCAGGTCGTTCGAAATAAATAAACTTTACCTTCAGAGATGTAGTGTTGACAGTGGTCATGCTAGTTTCGACAGTGAGATGTCTCCCGATTCTCTGAGAAGTAGTAGCTATCCACTGGATGAAAAGGGAACTTCAGAATCCATAGGACAATGTATTCAAGTTTATTCTTCTCCCAGTTGTGTTTCTTCAGCTGTTACTGCTCGTACCCACAGGTCTTGTAGTACAGACTCGGCCATCGAGCACGGCAATGAAGATGTTACATGTTTATCACTACCGTTTGAGACCCGTAGTAACACTTTTTGTGTGATGACGTCAGACAGTGATGAGAAGAACCGAGAAGAGGTACACAGAAAACGATCCCTAACAATAATGCAGTCAGTTTCATGTCCAATGCTTACAATGCCTTCGGTGGTAATAAGTGACCATAGCAGTTTCACTGATCAGGATCTTCAAATAGTGGACGACTACATGAAACCTTCTCAGGATTGTCTTCAGGTCACGTTGGACGATATAGCTGGGTGTATCCCCAAGAATCGTCGTTTGTCCAATTCCAGTTCGTGTTCGTTTATGTCCAGTCTTTCTTCCGTGTCGTGGGATGATGATGCTTGTCAAAGTGACGTCAGCGAGACTTCGGTAGCAAGTAGTTCCAAGGTAAGGACAGCATGTTTTTAAAATCTGTAAATGATATATTTTTAGTTGATACTACAGTACCAAAACTGGGACAGTGGTTCATGCGCCTGAACTACTGAAAAGTGTTTTTAGCCTGTACAGTTTGCAGGAGGATTATTGTACGGTGCCATAACGTGGAATAAACTATCATAACTGATTAATTTTACTTGCCTTAAAATTAAAGTAAGTATTAAAAACAATAGCAGGAAACTGTTTTGAAAAAACAACAACAAAAACTTCTGGTTCTCTGACCCTTTGATGGTCGGTGAAGGAAATATCCGTTATGATCAAAATCTAACGTTAGTAACATCAGTCGTTTTCTTTGGAACAGGACGTATATATCCGTCCGGAGTACACAAGGTTAGTGAAAATGCTGTCCATCCACAAACACAAATTTTTATAACTTGTATATCCATCATCGTACGTCAAAGGATTAAGTAATATGCTGTTTTAGAGTGGTTCTTTAATTAATACGTCATTTCAAGAGTATTTTATAATGTGAAGGACTTTAGATTAAGTTGAAATATTCTAATAATACATTTTAGTGGTGACGTGATACGTAGGTTTTAGAAAATTGTAATTAATTTTCATAATCACGGAAAAACTGACATTTTGCTATAGTTTCTGTTCAGTTAATTTTAACAAAATTGAAGTGGTATGTGTAGATGTTGGTTGTCGTTAATGTTTCGTTATTTCTTAATAATCTGCAAAGGCTGTTTTTTGAGCAAAACCGATATCTGCATAGAACACCACAAATGAGGTCGTTTAAAATTGTGTCAATAAATATATTTTAAGCTACGTATTTACGTTTTTCAAATCAGTTCACTTTGATTTTTTTGTGTAATTAAATACATATATCACAAGTTTTTTTTTCTTCACGAAGATCATTTAAAAAGCACTCATGGTGGTGATGATTTTCTTCATGAATTGAACCATAGTCTTTATTTTATACATTACAAATAATGTAAAAGGTTAGACAACGTTGTTAGATGTTAGGGAACATTAGCTTGAAGAAGTAGGCTTTTTAATTCAAATATCAAGAAAGTCGTGACGCAGGTGGTCCTTAAAAAGTCTGAAAACTTTTTCAAACAATTTGTAAAAAGAAAAGTTTCTGGTATGGAATGAAACGTGCTAAATTTTGATGATTTTATTCATATAGTTACAAAGATCAAGAGAAGCCAATTCGAAGATGTTTTTTTTTTACTAAAATTTATCCTATCTGAGCTGGATGTAGTTTTAAACTGTACGAATTATGTTGTAGCCTACACGAGATGAAGCTTAATGTGATGCGTTTGAAAGTTTTGTATATGTATGTTAGTAAAGAAAACGGAAAGGTTTTATGATTATCTATATAACAATTGAAAAGAGAGTAGCTAAGATCATATGGTTCTTATTGTTAGCTAATGTTAGTACACATACAGTGAAAAATTGGTTATTAATGTAGAGTACAGAGGGTTGTTCACGACTGGATACCCAGTCACCTTATCCTTGACCATCTCGTGGCCTATGACAAGTACAGAAAGCCCCTAAAATTGATTCCATTTTTGGAAGAATGACATAACAGAACCTTCCAACGCAACGTTCTTTGTACGATTATAAAAACATACAACCACGAATTTTCAGGGTCTCGAAAAACAGGATATCGGTAGTGTTGAACCAATCGATAAACGAGGGAGGGCGCGGTTCCAGAAGGGAAAAATAGACTACAACCAGTCATGCATAAAAGGTAGTGGAGAAAGCAAAATAACTTGTCATAGAAAGTAACCCAAGAACTTAGGGTCCATTACTGATAATGTGGAAACCATAAGCAAGATAATTCTTACGAATTTTGGTCAAGAAAAGCGTCACAAGAATTTTTCACAAACTTTCTCCAAAGCTGCAGCTGTTAAAAGCTATAAAAGCGATATCTGGCAAGTAGTGAATGGAAATGTGTCATTTTAGAGCTTACAAAAATCCAGATATTTATAGTGGCTGTAGTTTATAGCTGAATTGGTAAGTTAAACATCTGGAGAGCTGAGGAACGTATAAAGATGAATTCTCCATAACAGAATAGCTCATATTTATGCTCTGACGCTATTGTATCCCAAGAAGATACCATATTTGTACAAACTGAATGTCAATTTGTATGGATTTATCAAGACAAAGCATTCAGCCACACACCCAAAGCAACGTGCCAGTTCTTCTGCAAGATGTAAGAACAAGGGGAATGCATGTTATGCCATACACAGACACCTTCCACGGACTTCTGTGCTATTGAGTTGCCCAAACAGTTTCTTGGTATTCGTCATCTGCGCGCAGTTGATGAACTTTGCAATGGAATGAAAGGGGAGAGTTGGGGGGGGGGCAACATTGATCCTAATGTTTTGCAGTGGACATTTTGCTGCAGAGCAATAGTGATAGTGATGAAAGAAGGGCCAAGGCACTGATCGTTATATTGTTATCGTTATGACTCAGGCTGTTAAATGAGTTATTCAGTAACTGACAGATGAGTGACAGCCCTTAATTAAACATAAAAACTTGGCGAGTTATTACAATTAAGTTGTAATAACACGGTTTTTGTAAATTCATTAAGCTAACAGAACAACTCGCTAAATTTCACTTCTTGGTAGTTCATGTATTTATAAAAACAAAACAAAAAACCTGCAACTGTATGCTTGTCTCGCTTGGTTTCATCACTTGTTTATACGAATATGAATACTAGGTGATCTATTTTGTCAGTATTTATATTGTTGAAATATTGGCATCAACATCGTTTGATATTATAGAAACCTATTCAACTTCGTATTTTAGTACCTTCATAGTGTCATGCCACCACATATGTACATGCTAGTTCTGACGACCGTATATCTTCAAAATAGCCCTGCAGCGTAGTTTCCATTCCAAATAACTTCCGCTATGTCCTAAGCACACCACACTACCGTGCGGGTTTTCCATAATCCATTTAGTGGTTTTTCACGTGACTTGCTGACTTGTATTTCTAAAATAGTTTTGATATAGCGTACTTAACTCTGTTCTTCTAAAGTCTAACACAATAAGCTTTTTATTTCACCCAAGCAAAACAAATAAAAAACACAACACATACGCGCGCGTGCGCACACATATAAACACACAAACAAACAATTAAAAGTAAAGCATATTCACTTGAAAACATTATAGTTGTTTTTCTAAGACTTACACGTTATTTTTTTATGGTCGAAAGGTTTAGGGTTCAGTTGATTAACTCGTTCGTATGTTTACGTTGAATATATAAGTCCCGTAAACAATGGCTCTATAGCTTATTGTTGCCGTATTGTTGAAAAAGTGACAAGCAAAGTATGAATTACAGGATAAAGCTTCATTAACGACAGTAAGCGTTAAAAGTAAAGAACTATGTTTAACTATGAAAATTACCCTTTAAATGACGTAGATGTTAACTATTCAGTAATGTTACAGTGTTAGAACTTGCTACAAACTAGAGCGAATAGTTAGGTTTAATGTGTATTATACTGAATATAAGGAAACTGAAAATCACAACTGTTCATCATCATAAATCTGTGTACACAAAAAATGGTAGACACGTGTTTTATCTGCTTTAACTTTTCTACGGTCAGCGACTTCTTGAAAACAAATATGCGGAACGGTTACTTTCTAACTTCATATTAATGATATTGGAGCTGCCGTGGCTTGGGGCTTTTAAAGCTTTCTTTAACTATGGTGCCACCTAGTGGTCAAAACCGGATTTTTGTCGCTTCCTTCACCGTTTGTATTGTTTTTACAGTCATTTACAAATAAGCCAAGTCAAAATAAGTGTATATTCGTAGTACAGATGGAAGTGCTAGTAACTTTTGAGCATTCGTAAAATATTTTAGATAAAAGAAAACTAAAAAAAAAAAAAAACAACAACAAAAAACGTAGTTACCTATGTGACGTCGTCTAAACCGAAATAGTATACTGGCTATTATAGTGGCATTGCGAGTAAATTTGCTAATTTGCTATTACTGAACAAGTTTGCGAGTCTTCTTTGAAGCGCTCCACTCTCCACCGAAAAAAAAACAAAAACAACAACATCTGGCTTTCTAACTGAAGATTAGGTTTTGCTTATATTTTGCATGAAATTAACGTATAAATAAGTTTTTCTAGTCACACAAACTTGTGACTTCGTGTGGATATAGGCTATGTTTCTTGCGGTGTAACAACTTCCTACAGATAGTACTGTAAGGTTAGACTTTTAAATCTTGAAATTATAACTGATAAAGCCTTCAGTAAAAGTACAGTAGTATTAGTTTGGGAAAGTTAAGCCATGTGTTGATTGAATTGCGCAATGTTACAGATCGTTGTCATGGTTAGTAGTCTATACGATCATCTAAGTGTAATTAGTCATTAGTTACTTTTTTATTGTTAACACTAGATACTTCACTGACTAGCTATTTTTTTTAGTACCAATGTATTCTTTCAGATTTGGGTCTGAACTAAGCTGCAGGTGCAAATTATGTTGATCACATGGTATGTAAGGTGATCCATACATCTCTATAAATGATTGGAAGAAGAAAATTTGCAGTCAGTCCAACAGATATTGGAAAGACAAAGACATTGCAGCGTTCAAAAGAGGTTTGTTCGTTGGTAGGCCGCTCCAATGTATCGGTCATTCGCGATTGTCAGCAATGGCATAAGGTGTGTAAAATATCTGCTGTGAGAAGAATTGTCGCCACAAACATATAGTGACAGAAAGAGGAGAAAGGCAGTTGGACAGGATGGTGAAACCCAATCGTCATCAAATAATAGAACAACTGATAGAGACATTCAATACAGGGCAATCCATACCTATTTCTAGTCGTACCTTGCGAATAACGTTGCAATGAATAGACTGTGGTAGTAGAAGACCATTGCGTGACTCATTGATCTCAGTTATCAACAAGAAAAAACACCTTTACTTTAGTGGTGTAAGGAGCGTAGGATTTGGACTAATGAGGAATTTCGAAAAGTGACGTGGTCCAACGAGTCCT